CGGCTGCTCGTAAACTAGTTACGTGGATCTAACACGCGAAATAATGCATCGCAATTGATCCGATAACAATGAATTGAAAGACATCGCGGCTAGATAATTTATCGTTTTCTCCATCAATTGATTAATTTTTTTTTTCTCTTCAAAATGTGATCCTATTTAATGGATCCATTAAATGTGATCTATTTCTAATGAATGTTTGTTGGATATTCAAATGTATGTGCAAAAGCATTTTCAATTTTACACAAATTTCATTATTAATCATTTTTTCAATGTTCGTTAAATGTACAGTCAATGTACAGAGCGGGCTATATATTTATAATATTTTTATGGTATTGTTTCTAATATTTCAACAAAAAAATGATTATTATATAGGAATGTTATTTAAATCAATTTTTAAATATGTAGAAATCAATATTTTCAATAATTTTAATTTCGCTGCAAGCGTTGTTTAATTTTCGAGATATTATATCAAAAAAAGATTGTTATTGTTACATAGAATTTCATTAATATATGTATATATGTATATACGTCTGTACACAACTTATATTTTATATTTGTTAATAAATTTCAACTTAATAAACTGATACTCATATATAAAAAGAATACGAATTTAATATTAATAATCAAAAAAAATAGCTAACTTGAAAATAAATATGATATAAATTTAATTTAAAAATATTCATATTTTTTTTATTGATTTAAATTGTTGAATCAATTTTATTAATTTTGTTATCAATTTTAATTTTAAAATTAAATATTCCATTATATTAATATTCATAATCTCAATAAAAAATAAAATGCTTCTATAAAAGTCAAAATAAATAAACTTTCTGAGAAATTGCGATTTCAAAGAAAATTTTTATATGAAAGTACTTTTTAAAAGATCTTAAGAGTTTTCGAATGTTTTTTATCAACATCAGCGATTTCAAATTCTTTTTGATTCAAAGAATGCCATACGTTTGAACAGAAACGAACAGAAAAGTATTCCAATTTAGAATACTTACTAAGTAAAGTATCATTAAATATGCCGCTCGAAGTGAATAAAATATTCGAGAATGAAGTAATTTATAATGATTGAAGAATTAATAAGAGAGAATAAAATAATTTTTTCTTTTAATTTATTCAATTTAATGTCGTAATAAGAGCACAATAAATCATAGAAAATATTACATATAAAATATATTGCAAAAAATATGAACAGACAAAACTTGCATAATAAACAGATCAAATCATACTCATTATTCTCTACAAATATAATTTGTAGTATATTTGTCGAATTAATAGAAAATAATTCGGAAAGAACGCGAAGTAATATTTGGCTGTTTATTCTTTCTTCGTTTGTTATAAATTTAATAAGTTTTTTACGAAATTCAAATTCAAATTCTTCTAATCAAAGTTTCATGAATTAAATTAATACCAATTAATATATATTGAATTATACTACTCTTTCAAAAGTTTCAGAATAATCTTATTTATATATCAAAAAGATTCAAATGATATGCAATCTATTTTCATTTTTGTATTCAGTTTTCTAATAACGATGCATTACCATAGGTGCAATAGTGTACATATACTTTAACATTATTTTTGTCAATCGAGGTTCGAGTGAGCCATTTTCAATAATATCTGGATTTTGCATCGTGATAATGCTCCAGTTTACACTTCAATACTTGTTCGCAACTTTTTGTTCGAAAATTCAATAAATCTCATTTCATAAATATTCATTCGATTATTGCGAACGTCGATTTGAATTTATGATAAAACAAAATTCGCCAACGGAGTTGTAAACGCCATCGCAAAAATTGAGTTTTCAGAGTTTTCAAATATTGGCGAAGAAATGTAGTATTGTGAATAATAAGAAGAGATTAGATTAAACTAAATTAGATTTAAAGGAGATAAAATAGAAATTATATTTCATTTGTTTTAAAACTTTTTGAATAAGAATAAAATTTCTTTGAAAAAAAGATTTAAAATTAATAATATAAAATTCATGAAGAAAATAAAGTATATACATAACTCATTCGTATTCATAATTTATTCATTTTAATATTATTAATATCATTAATATCATTTTAATATCATTAATATACGAAGAAAAGATTTTAACGATTTTTTTATTACGTATTTTTTTACGTATACAAATTTGAATGCTCATTCTCTTTGAATGCTTAAAAGAACATCACGTGATTTAGATTTCATTCTCATAGAGACTCAATTTAGCGACCGTTTCCCAAGTTTATTGAACGATAATTTTAAATTCGGCAACTATCGACTCGTGTACTCGTAATCTGACTACGTTTTCTTCTAATTTCCCCTGACCCGTGAAATTGAAATTGAAATCTGAAATTTAAATGTGCCATCCCAATAAAACCAGAAGGCGATATTCGACGAGTGTCGAGAAAGGTTAAAGGAAATAAAAGGGAAACTGTCGGGATCGCTCCAATAAGCAACAGCAAGATAATTGCTCCGCTGACAGAGTAAAGACGTTCCGATTTCCCTTATTGAAATTCTTTCTTTCTTTTTTTTTTCTCTTCTTCTTTTTTCTTTCTTCACTGTTCCTAGTGCCATTAATAATGAAATTGTCATGTTGTGACTTCTTCAAGTCGTTTTGAATTATCTCTCGTAATTATTCGTAATACTTTATAATTATCAATTCACGAAATGTTTGAAAAATTTCATCATATTATTTATTGAAATTGATTTTTTGAAAATAGATCATGCCGTAGATATATGCCGTATGTATTAATTTCGTTTCTCAATTTTTTCATTATTTCGTTTGTTAATTTTACAATATTCTATAATATATATATTTTATATATACATATAAAATTATTTCTTGATTAAATATAACTGATTTATCAACAAATGATTATTCTATATTTTTTTGTTTTATTTAAAAATTAATTTTGGAGATTAAATTTGAAGATTCGTCTATGCTAATTTCCCTCTATTGTATAATTTTTTCAGTCGAAAATTTTTCTTTCATTTTTCTCATAAAAAAAGATAAAATAGAAATTTATTTTTTATTTTTTGCTTATTCATATTATTTCACATTCAGAATAATTATTCCTATCGAGAAAGTCAATTTGAACTTTTAATTTTTAGTTAAATTTAAGCTTTTTAGCATTTATTTAATTAATTTAGGTAATTAGTTTTTACTACTTGAAAATTTTATTCGAGAACGAAGTCTTGAATTAAAAAATATTTATTTAT